TCCCTGCTGTTGTCGGTTCCCCACAACGGCGAGTTGATCCGCTTCGCCCGGACCCTGGTGGAAATCCGCGCCAACAGGGCAGAGAGGGAAGAGGAGGGGGCGGTGGAGCTGTCGGCCTAGGGCAAGAGACGGAGCAGTGCCCGCCGTCACCGGAACAGCAGCTTCCCCCGCCGAGTGCGCCCGTGTTCGGTGTCAGAGCCAGGCTTGCTGTGGCTGTTGATGCCAGTGTACGTGCCAGTATTGCTCAGAGCATTCCGTATTAATCACGCTGCTTTACACGGGGCTGAAAATATCCAGAGCATTTTCATACTTTATATTTCTGTCTGAAAAGTAAGAAAGAAAAGACAAATCAACCCTTTATGGGTTTAGTTGTTGCCTTTTAACTACTTAGTAGCTGTATTTAATAGCTAGGAACCCCTGGTTAAACTTGTGCTCGCATTGCCCTTCTGGCATAGTCCTATTAAATCCATATGAAGCCAGATATGATTATGTGCAGATGTGGTGTGCTTCACTGTATGGGACTGGGCCAAAGACTTCAGATGTGGTGTTTCACATGGTGACTTACATTATGAATGGATGTACTATACGAAAGTTGCTGCTCCTTATTTATTGCGGTGTGCTGCATGGAACATATTTATTTGAAAGCATTAAAATAAACGATCCTAAAGCATGTGCATAATGAGAGAACTGCATTGTCCGTGTGCTGCTGTAGAGGTTACATTAAAGTCCACGTAACAATTAGAGTACATCAGTTGTGCTTAACATGTAAGATCTGTAAAGGTTGGCTTGAGTGGATGGAATGAGTTTCCTTTCCTTCTGAGATGCCTATTATTTCTAGGCACTTTAACTATATTTCAAATACAGTTGGTCACTGATACTTGTCATGCAAGTTAATGCTAACAGACTGACAAGGGGTTGTGGTTCCCGAGTATGACACTGGTCTTGCCAATAAAGCGTATTGAGCCCGGTCTGTTGCAGTGTGGTTAATCATTCCTTGCCAGCAGCGCTCAGCGTGTTTGTCACCGGTCACTGGCGAGGCGCTGGGCACATGACACTGCCCTGACTCGCAGAAGGCTCATGCGGCTGCTATGTGAATGGATACCTTTGGCTATGGGGACTGGCCATTGACGGACCTGCACGCATCAGATCCTGCTGCAAATTTTACACGAGCAGACACTAATTTTTATTTTTCCCTCCATCCCTGGCACGTGGAGCAGCACTGTGCTGCTGTACGCAGTATGAGAAAAGGAATAGGAAAGGCTCCTCAAGCTGTCTTGAGACGGGCTGGGCTAGAGGACACGGGAATTCTCTCCTTCACAACACACTCCTGTGGCCTGAGCAAAGAAACTGTGTGCAGACTGATCTCACTGCGTGCAGCAGCCCCCAGGGACGCCGGTGACTGCCGACCCTTAGTGGGGAGGCTGCCAGTGATGGCCACCTCACGACATTGTGCTGAGCCAGAGCCCAGCCTGGACACGTGGGGTTAACAGTGGCTCAGGCGCGCCTGGGCAAGCAGATGAGCCCTTACAGCGAGAGGCACTGACAGGCAGCAACAAAGTTTTCGTACGTTAAGTTTGCAGGGAACCGTGGCTTGTCTTTGGGCAGCGACGCTGAGGAAGGTTTCAGCTGCTGCTCTTCAGAGCCATGGTCATACCCAGCCCCACCGGGAAGTTGCTGCACTGCAAGAAGCCAGGGATGGCTAAGAAAAAGAATCCTCGGGAGAAGCTGGGTTTCCCTTGTCCTGCTGGGTGTTAGAAATAACCCCCAGCAAGAGCGCCTGGGCTAGTTTCTTCTTCATGGTGGGACCTGAAGATACGTCCCGGTGCCTGTGGACATGTCCTGCCTGCCAGGCTGTGGTACGCGGGGTCTGCCCAGCACGAACTCGCCCCGCAGCACCGACACCTCTGCCGTCGGCCTGGCAGCTGCGCGGGACCGGAGCCCCACGGG